TTTCACTTTACGCCGGTCTTCTGTGACGTCGTGGTACTTACCCGGACGAGCCTGCCCATTCGTGCAACAGACGAGGCTGCTGCGTGGCCCTACCACCGAAGCCTACTTACCTACCTACTTTATTTTGCCAGAAATGTCTCATTTTTAGGGTCGCGTTCCCAAAAGGTAAAACGGGACCATTTTAATAAGACTGCCCTGTCTATCTGGCTGTCTGTCCTTCCGTCTGTCACTAGGATGTATCTCATGAACCGAGTGATACAGTTGAAATTTTCACGGATGATGTGTTTCTGTTGCCGCTATAACAACAAATACAGAAAAGACAGAGTAAAAAAGGTTATAGCGGGGCTCCCATACGACAGACATGATTTTTTGCCGTTTTTATAGATATATTTTATAGAATATTATTATAGAATAGAGTTTAGTTTTTTTGTATAGATTATAGTTTATATAGCCTTCGTGAGCGAGTCTGACCCGCACTTGGCCGGTTTTTTATTATAAAATTTCGTTGCAATTTTATTGATTTATTTATATTTTAGGTTAAGAAAGATTTTAGTTCACGGCTCTCTCATTTAACGTTTTATAACTTAAGTCTAAAAAAATCTTTAGGTCTGCAACTTAAACTAGAAGATCGGATAGTTGAATATATTCATCGACAAGTTTTTTAAAACTGTGATTGAACTGAATTCAAGCAGGAGTCGTAAACTAAAACATTCGATGGAAGTCAACTCGTCGTAAGATTACAGATTCAGCCGAAGTTTCAAATCGCGAGCTTAAGTAAGTTTGCCAGTTTCAGCCGCTTGATCTTTGGAAACATCGTAAATGAATTCAGTCGGCTGTAGTTGTTACGCTCTCCAACAGAATCTCTTAATGATTCGAATGTCGGATGCGTCCAGTGTTTACACATAAATAAATTAAAATAGGTTGGACGAGTTTATCACATTTATATAGTCATTGAATATTAGTAATGAAAGAAACTTTTGTATCTGACACTATTTATATTACAAAAAGGTATACGTGATCGTAGTTTCTCTTTATATTTCTTAATTGGGAGAAATGGTAGATTTTTACTTTCACAAGAAATTATAAAACGATTTAATACTTAATATTTACGATGTTAGGCTCACAAATTAAAAACGAGGGCTTGAGTTACTGCTAGAGAGGCCCACAAATATAATGCCCATTTATCGAATTTCATATTATGTTCAAATGCAAACTGATATTGCCACCGCGTGCACGGCAAAAGCATCATCAACCATTGCTATTGCCACTCCCGCTATAAGAGAATAACTAACTGATATCTGTGAATTCTCAGGTACACTTTAATTTTTCATTGTAGGTATAGAAAACGTCAGATTCTAATAAATCCTCTCCATCATCCACGATACAAACGCAACTTACCGATTTTCAACATTTACTATTGCTCTAATAAGTTATATTACCAGCGACATTCAAAAACAGTGGGTGACAAATTAATATATTTACCCACATAAACTGGAATGAATTAGTAATAAATGAAACTCATAGCGAAAATAATTTTCATCCATTCGCATTAAAGCGTTGCTCTTAGATGGCAATTTCCAACGCCCACAGCTTCTGTCAGCTCTTCTTTTTATTGAGGCTATTAAAATAAAGGTAAGGATGATAAACAGCGCGCATTTTATTTTAGAGGCCAATAAAACGATCCCAGGTGTACTGTATTGTCTAAGTTTATTGTTCAGCCTGAAAGTTATCAATATATACGGGCCCTTTATTTCTTTTAATCATACCCTTGTGACTTAAGTTAAGATTGCAGCTTGATATGTAATAACAATGTCTTCAAAAGTAAACGGTTTTGCATTACTCAGTATACCAGTAGCAATTCGCAATAAGTCGCAGTTCCCTTTGTACATCCGGATTAAAGGTTAAAATTAATACAATAAGTACCAATACCTTCACCAAAGGTGAGTCACGTTACGGTAGTGCTTGTTAAGGTGGTTAAAGGTCGCATCATTCACCTTGTTGCAATTACATCTTCAAGACTGGTTTTGTATAGCGTCATTGTGGAATCATACTGTGGCTGATCAGAAAGCTGGTTCCGCTAGTTATGGGATGACTAGAGTTGGTTATCACAAAATCCTAAATCGGTGGAATGTGTCACAGATAACATATTGAATTAATAACGTGTCGCTAAAAGAATTATAATAGTTCCTTAAATATCTAATACTGATTCTTGAAACTCAGGTATGTTGGAGATGACTGAACAGCCGTTTCTGAGCATATTTCTCACGATGGACTGGTCTTCTCATGTAATTGTGCACCTTAGCCTCACATTTCCTTCTCATATTTCCCGAAATCACTGGTTTTGTAGCGTACGTTAAACTCTTACTCTTCTGGCAGTACTACGCTGAATTCTTCCTTCTTTTACTCTATTATTAACCAGTGTAAATTCTCGTTATAATTATTTATTATTATTTTTTTTCAAAAGTCGAATATATTTTATTTACGTTTTAACTTTTACAAATGAACCTTATTAAGTCTTGTTAAAAATCTAATAATAAAATACTATTTAAATACGAGTTCTATGTAAAACATTTTGTGAGACGTAGGTTTATCTTTGACCCGTCATTTTTTCGGCTCATTTTGTTTAGATATTAGTATATAGTTCACAAATCACACTTCGTCTAGTTAGTAATAGTATATAAAATATAAAGAAATCAAACGTTACATGATAAATTGAGCTTAATAATTCTTGGGTTACTTAAATTCGAATCGGTAATTGCAACATAGGACTTGTTACTGCTGAATTAAGAACCGGTTTTGCATGCTCAGTAGTAAAGCGAGCATTGAGAAATGAAATATTTAGAATGAAGAAAGCGCATGCAAGGTTTATTGACCTTATCTCTGATGAAACAAAGAAAGCTTTTTCTAACAAAAGACATTGCTAAGTTCCTCTTGCTGAATTAGGTGACATATTGGTACAGGATATGTCCTTCAAGTTTTATTTCTACAAAGTTTTACAAAAGTTTTATTTTACATAAGTGCTTATTGCATTACATGCATTAGATAAAAAAACACAATTGAATTTCGTAGGTTAATTGAGCTTGCTGACTGTTTCTGATCCAAAGTTTATGTTAACCGGCTATTGAAGAATAATGATGAACAAACTCATTTCAGCACTTCTTCCTCTTTTCGAGTCAAAATTGCTATTTAAATTTATTTGACCACTTCCACCGCTAAAGAATTGGCTACGAACAGGAAATACTACTCTAAAATTTGTATGAAAAGGAACAAAAATCTCGCTGTGGCGAAAATCGAACCCGCGTTGTCTGGAATCGCTTTAACCACTAAGCTAAACTAATTTCGATTAACTTTGCAATAATAATATTTGTGTGATCATCTACATTTGTATTTATTAGTGCATATAGAAGAAAACTAACTATAGCGTAAAGACAACACATTAATACGTTGTATGTTTTAAACGTTGAACCACTCTTGAATTTTTAACTATTTAATTTACAATGCTATTTATTGTCCGCGCTTAATATTTGATATAAAAATGTGTAGAAAAAACTCGCTATATTTTTCACCGCGGCCAAAAATTTGTGACAGTTTATCAACACTTCCAAAATAAGCTTATTATATGGTGCCTTATTTTTTTGTCTAGGCATATTTTACTATTAGATTAGAAAAGTTTACTCATTTAAAAATTTTCCTTGTAAAAAAATATTTCCTTCAAAAGTATGTGAAAATAAAAATGTTCCACATAATATTGCCCTTCTCACCGACATACTCACAACACACTTCGTTGAACAAAGATGATCAATTACAACACGTATTTCACACGATAAAAGATTTTGACGGTATATATATGTATATATATCCCTATCGAACTGTCAATACTATTTATTTACGCCCAAATTTGCAATTCCGACACGATTTCCGAACCGGTATTCGACGTACGTAATTTACGCCTATAAATGTTTCGCATCAGCTGCCAACGAACGCTTCGTTATGTTGCCATTTATTGCATTGCATAACAAGCGGATAGATTCTATCCCAGGGGTTGTCAACCGATAGCCAATTTGAGTCAACAGTCACTTTCGACAAAAATCAATTAAGTATATTCATCTTATTATATATATAGTATTTATCTCATTATTAGGGGGGTTATTTATCTTACTTAGCTGTAGGTTCATGCAGCAGATTCTGCGAATGAGTATGCTTGTACGGGAAGTACCATAGTCTCACACACACACGCACCATTTTTTAGGTTGGCGACGCGTCTGTATTCCCACGGTTGTCGTAAATGGCTACTGTCAGTGGTATTTACTTAGCATAAAACGAATCATCTAATCTAAAATTATTTGCAATTTAATAGATTTATAAATTGCACAAACCGTTTTAAAGTCGATTGAACCAATTAGAAGTGCAACTCGAGTTAAGTTTGCCACTACTGCACAAGGCAAGCGGTACCGTAGTTGAAATAGAATCAAAAGTTGCTCATCAAAAGCTGATTTATTTCGGCACAACGCTGGATCCAAGACACTTTCTTAATTTGCATCTATGTGAAGTAAAGTAGTAAAACAACAGAGTAAAGAGTTCATATTTTTAAATTAATATAAACAGTTAGACGTCAATTAACAGTATAAGTAGTAAATTAAAAATTCTTCTTTTTTGTGTATATCACCAAATCAAGGGTTTGCATATACCAGGCATTGATAAAGTTTACTAAATGAACACTGTGGAGGTATTTTTATTACAAGTAATTTAAAATTACACTAGTAACGCGCGACCACAGTACGTTAACAAAACTGGTTACGGGTAAAGTTTTGATCACTGGCAAAATCGATTTAGAATCAATTATACTTTTTACGAGTGTGTAGATTTTAATTCTTATAATATATCGTTGTTATTGTTTAATAACGCATAACCGAAGATCGATCAGGGTGAAGGCTTGGGAAGAGGCTTATGACCAATAGTGGGCTGCATGCTGGTGATGACAACGAAACACGATTTATTTACATTTTCCCATTGGTGTACTGTTCGTAAAACGTCCTAGCGGCGTTCAGCGCGTCTACGATAAACTTGTCTTCGCAAGGATTGTCGTCAAAGAAGAAGGCGCCGCATTTCATCGATTCCGAGCACTGTGAGTTGATCACTTTACCGTTACAACAGGTGAGTATTGCCCTTGCGCAGGGCGAGATCGTCCTCGGCGGCTTGACGTTGTCGCCTCTCCGTGTACTCAGTATGAACGACAGCTCCTGAACGGTGAGTGTAAGTTTCGATTTCGAGTCACTGGTCGATCTCTCGACAGTCGTAATCCCTCGAGCGTGGCAGATCTGGTTCAATAATATCGCCAAAAAAGCGATTATCAGCCCTTTGGTCGCCATCTGAAATATAATGGTCGAATCCAGAGTATATTGTAATTCAGCTGATGATAAGAATAACGACATATTATGAGCTTGTTTTATCTTTATCAATATATCAAACACTAAAGTTGCCTGTTTGAAAAATATCAATGATTACAGTTTTTTAAGAAATGTCTGTTGTGACGTTTCAACCAAAAGCTAAACCTATTATGAACTAGTTCACATTCATTACATCTATGTTTATATAATATTATAGTGGAGAGGAGTCGCTACGTTTACTATGGTGTAAATGTTTTCATAAACTGTATCCATCGGGTTCATTTTTGCTCAAAGGAAAATGTTTGCATCCAGACCTCCTTACATTCTGACCGTTGAGCCTTCGGTTTCCTTTAGTTATGTATGCGTCCTTGATCATTGGCGTTTTACTGAAAAGATTTGCAAAGGAAGCAATAAAACGTCAATTAACACATGATTAAAGTTTAAAACAAGATTAGTTGGGGAAAACCCGCGTCGGGATGTAGTAATTATGCGTTGCTGGCCCACACGGTCGTGACTAGAATGTCGATAAAATCACTTTTACAGAATCCCACACGCTATATCTGCACGCTTTAAACAAAATCCCTGCACGAATCGACCACAACTTATAAGGAAAAGAATTGTCTTAAGAAACAAAAAATAAGACAATTAAGTGTATACTAAATGAAACAAATCTACAACAAACCATTTGCGAATAAGCTTACTTTTACTCTCATCGGAACAATTCCAGATTTGTTTCGTCACTGTCAAGTCTTCTGTCACCGTCAAAACTTCTGGCCGACTGACGTCTGTTCGGGCGCTCATTCCTTAGTTGACTAAATATCTCTTGACAATGTATAGCCTACTCCGACGTCTGATTCAACACGTGTTTTCGCAGGTTCTCACGTGCTTTGCGATACAGCGTGGCTGTATCTACGACATCGACCTCAAAAGTAATAAATTTTGCGTAAGGACTGAAGCAGGATCGAGAATAATTTTTGTTTGATTTTCTTCCAGCTCTGGACAAAAACTTCACTTCGTCTTAACGTATGATAATTTACTGATACTGGTTTAAGTAAATTACACATTTGAAGCCGTTTTCACGTCTCATTTTGACCGACAGGATCAAGTTTTTGTTAGAAACACAGCACACATGGAGTAAAGCATTGGGGAAACCCATGACGTCATATGATGTAGTTATCAAGTAATTACGTTACAATGTGAATTATCGTTGTTTTATTTAAAAACTCATGTTGTTTTCATCAAATTTATGTAAAACATTTAGTTATTTAGTGTTTTAGTGATTATAATTTATAAACTGCATGTGTGTTTCTTTAAAGTTGGAGAAATGCTTAATAATACAATAGGCGGGGTGCAAAGCATCTTCATGTCTGAAAGGCGACGAATAACTACATAGCATAAAACAAAGTCGTCCCGGTGTCTGTCTGTCCCTATGTATGCTTAGATCTTTAAAACTACGCAACGGATCTTGTGCCGGTTTTCTTTACTATCTAGAGTGATTGCACCCGTGCTAAGCCGGCGCTGGTCGCTACTATATTTCATGGTTTGTGCATGATTTATTACTACCGTGTGCTCAATAATTTTATTATTATATCAATATCTCTAGCAATAAATAGCACAGATTTTGTACTTCTCTTCGTGACTTCTCTTAATGATTTTATTCACTTCCTTACAAAATGTGATTACTAATACTCGTAGGGAAAGGTATACTTAACCAAGCAAACGTTCGTGAAAACCCAGATATCATCTTTCCTTTAACAATGTTGAATCCAAGTGTTTTCGTTCAAATATGCCGTAAGTATTTTACTGATGCTTTTCTTATTCGTAATTAAAATAATAGAACATTGTTAACTACCGACTGTATTTTTAAATGATATATTAAACGAAAGCATAAAAGGGGAAGTACTTTTTATGTGTATAATTTACGTTATATAGAAATATTTTTTTTATAAAACTGATACAATGCTAAACAACATAATCTTCCTTAACATCAATATTCTTTTCAATAGAAAAAGTACACATATATTTTTAGGCATTACATTAATTATATTCTGCTAATAAGTTTTTAATGATTATCATTATTAGTTTCCATTAATTTAATTACACGAGACTAATAGTGGAATTTCCGACCACCGCGTCAATACTTGATGCGATTAAAGCGACATAAATGCGGAATATTTATAAGGAAAACTATTAATGACGTTATATTGCGATTTATGGAATTCTTGGATGTGCCTGGTGATATATTAAAGTTATCAACATATTAACCATTTTATATATAGTAATCAGTTTCTATCTCTTCAATATTTGATTCTGGCTTGTTGATTTTGATCTTTTTTTTATCCAGTAAATAAATGTAATGACATTAAACAAAGGTTTAATTATATAACAATTGCATCCTATACCTTAGATCATATAGAAATGTTTTGACGTCGTTGTTAATTGGGTTTTACCGTAACCGAAATATTAAACCTAATACCTAAAACGGATTAAAGAATTTCTAAATTATGTGAACTCTTTCAATCATTGCAATGTTATGCAACCTCAAATGACTTTTTAAAAGTGTTTAACATAAAGAATTAATATTGTAATTGGTAATTAATTATACGAAGTAAAAATCACACGAGTAACAAAATAAATACAGTCATTAAGTGTTCTATTTATGTTAGTTCCGCCTTCGAAATATTGGCGACAAAAAACAAATTAAAAAAACAAGCTTTTACATTCTCAGTGTTCCTTTATAGGTATAGTATACCTGGACTACCTTTTTCTCACAAAAGAGGGAATAAAAAATATATAAAAGAATTGCTCAGTTAAAGAATAAGATATCTCTGATTAGACGGAAGGTAAACCTCCTAACATAGACCAAGCATAATCGCACAATTTTAAAAACACTAAACTGTTTTGTTTTACCAAAAGACACAGTAGCAATGATTATTTTCATAAACAATCTCACACCCTTGAACGCCGCCTTGAGGTTAAAGTAAAAATGAAATTTACAAGTGTAATAGTGTCTTATTAAATCCGCTCCTTCTATTTCTTATTACGACCGCATAACGAGCACAGTTGCGTGCTCATTTTGTTAATATTGCATTTAAAAAATATATTAAAATATTAATTCAAACTTTGTTACTACAAGCCTATTCATTGTTGTAAAAATTGTTAGAGTCCTTAGTCGTCATTTCAAGTTCTAGTCTTTCAGGAGGTAATATTAACATCTATTTTTGGTATTGAATAAAAAAAAAACTATAAAACTAGGAATATTTATTAAAATCGCTCACCGTTAGATAGATAATATTTTCAATCTGTCAATCCGATGAATATATTCAAAACTTATTATGACTAATTGACTCGTTAGAATCAATTTAAATTCAATACAATGAATTTGACGACCCGCCGAACGGCCTAGTTGGTAATGAAACTGCCTCTTGCGCCAGTGGGTGTGGGTTCAATCCCCACTACTTTTGTGCGATAAACATAGTTTTTCCAGTGTCTGGGTGTTTATATATTTATAACACGTACTTATTTACAAAAGTATGTTTAAGTATGATTACTAGTTATCTAGTACCCATAGCTCTAGCGTTGCTTAGTTTATTTATGGACTAAAGAACGTCGTATGGAAATGTGTTCTGAAATTATTTCAGAACACTTAATAATCGATTATTTATTTAATTTTACTCTTACTAGACCGTACATGAAGTATATTCAAAATGATAATTTAAAAAAAAAAACCGACTTCAAACCGGACTAAAAACATTTCTATAACATTTGAGGATTGCTCTCGATTTCTCGGGGATGCCATCATCAGATCCGGATTTCCTTATCATGGTACCACTCTTGGGATATCTCATTTCCAACAAAAAAAGAATCATCAAAATCGGTTCATAAACGACGAAGTTATAAGCGAACACACATAAAAAATTATATATATACGGTCGAATTGAGAAACCTCCGACTTTTTTGAAGTCGGTTAATAATATAACAGAAGTAAAGTCTGATTACCGAATACATGTTCATGACAGATTATGGCACAATTTAACCATATCTCATGAAGAACACTAGGTTTAGCACTTTTTGCTAAATATAATTAAATACTCATAATTATTATTCAGGGTCGAGTGATGCCATTTTTGGACAACGGACATCTGCGACTTCGACCAATTCCAATTATGATAGGAACATATTCCCTTCACTTCATTAAGATTAAAGTCTTTGATGGAATAAAAAGTTGATTCCTAATATTTTTAATTAAATAGATTAATTTTTTTTTTAAATTTTGTAACATCCAAATTTGCTCTTCGGTGTAGATCAACTTCATTTGCAAATAATCATCTTCTGGTACCTAGCAGTGTGCTAGGTTTTTCGTCGAAACTGAAATCAATAAAAATATTTTTGTATAATTGATTTATTTTTTAAAACTATAAAAAGGATACTATTCGGTTTTATTAACCCGGTTTTATGTACCCCGCAAAATTTCGAAGGTAATTCATAAGAATACGTTAAAAATGTGTTGTAAGTAAACAAAAACAGTCTCAGCAACCTTTGTCACACTTGTAGTTTGTTTAGATTTGTTTGATCGATTGGAATTTTTGATTGGAATTTGAAGTAAGAAGATCGAACAAATTTAAATGCCACTTTATCAGCTATATATTATGGTATAATCAATAGCATAATATAATAGATTTGTTTTCTAAAAATAAGTTCAATGTAATTGCATACTGAGTTTTGAGACAGATTTATTTAATCAGAAACTAATTCAATCCTGCTTAGGCTAGGATGGGCTCGTATATTTATGTGTTTGATGATCGTGATTTAAAAAATACCAAAAAAAGAAATTATTTTTTAATTTGTTTTTCTAGAGAATACTTACATTAAACTATTTTCCAGCTTGCATACTACCATGTTCGACTTCGGGTAACGACCGCGATCTCCCAGCTTGCACAGAACCATGTTCAACATCAGGTAATGTCCGTGATGTTATATGAATTTCTTTATCTCCTGGCGATTTTATATCACGTAGAACAATCGGTCGTGTCGAATCGTCGTAATCATCTGGATTTGATTCGGTAGTTGTTTTAACTGGCTTCAAAGTGGTCGGTCTCTGAGTCGGTCTACTGGTAGTTTCTTGGATTCGTTTAGTACTAGTAGGAAAATTCGGGGCACGCTGGGCAGTTTGATCTGACGTAGTGAGCGGATACTGAGGCGCGTTGAAGTAAGGTCCAAATAGATCACGGGGATCTAGCTGTATCAATGGAAAATTGAACTTCAGATTTTGAATCATGTTAGAAATGAATCTGTATAATGCGTCTTCCACGTTACCGACTCCGAAACCACCGAAGCTCCCAAAGGAGCTGTATGTGGTGATTTGACTACTTGACACAGTTTTAACTATTCCATCATTGTTCACTTTGACATGTAACACAGTCTTCTCATAACTTTTCCTCGGTTTGCAATTAACCATTACAAAACACGTGATTAGGAAGGATAACTTCAGAAACATCGCCATCTGTAGATCAATTAAAATTAGAGTATAAGATAATTTATCCAGAATTTGAAACAAAAAATTAGGAAATAATTCACTTATTTTGATGCGCGGATTCTTTCTAAATTATACACGATTTTCTCCATGAGTTAAGCATTGATGTTGACACCAAAGTAGTTGACTTTGTCACTGAGCTTCAAAGTTGTCACTTATGAAAGTGGAAACCTAATGAACAAGTCGGGGACCATTTCCCTAATGAGTTGGCTCGCCTTTTTATATAATTACTACATTTAGTATTGTTATAAGTAGTACTTTGATATTTAACTCGAAGTATTAAATACAATTAGTGTTCTAGCATTTAAATTAATGGGTTTTTAATTGCTTTTAGAACTAACATCAATAAGTATAGAACCATTTTTGGTATGTCATTAAAAAAAAAAATTATAAATTTTTGATGACACTAAAAAGTAGTATTCCGTTAAGAAAGTCGGTGACAGTAATTTTTAGACCATTAAAATTTAAATAAAATGAATTCCTATAATACTAAAAATAACAATTATTGATTGTACAAACTTTCCACTTCTTTAATATTGTAGCGATGAAATAATCCATCACATTCAAGATATCTATTCAATCGATTGGCGTAGTGGATAGGATAGGACCTGACTTAGCTCCAGAGGGTTAGGTATGGGTTTGATCCCGTTGCTGGAAAAACGTCAAACAACGTACAAAGTGCGTTTAAGTATGTTGATAAGTTAAGTAGTACCCACGTTGGGACTAGACAACGCTGTGTTAAAATTTGTCCTGAAGTATTCATTTAATTACTTTTTGGTTGAATAGATTATTTAGACATTAATATTTGACACAATTAAAATCTGTTTCTCATTATTATAATTTATTATAGCTAGCACAATCGTACATTATAGGGAATATAATTTTTTTAAAACTTGACACATAAAGGAAGTTTTAAATGATTAGAATGATAAAAATCCTTCCTATATTATATCTTTCAAATTTTTAATTTAGAACAAACTTGACATGTCTCACATATTCAAGGTCATTCCTCCGCGCCGGAATACTTAATTTCGTTCGCTGCATCCACAGCAAGAGATGCTATATTTATTAAGTACCTTTTGTTATGAAATCTTATCACTAAAATATCTTTACGGTTTTTAATATTTCTTGAAATATACATACCGCAATAAATGTTGACTGACACGATAGAATAAGAATCAATTTTTTTAAATCAACATGCACTTGAACTGAATGAAATTTAAAAATTTATCGCTTTTATGTGTTGAATTTCTGCACTCTGACGACACAATTTTACCATAATTGCGTGTCCGTTAATGGGTCTCTAATGGACAAGTGTCACGAATGCCACACGCGTGTTACTACTCAAACGATCCGGACACAACTAACTTGTGTGTTACTCTTACTTAGTATCGGTGTGAGATAATAGCTAGGTTTTTTTTTTTAAATAAACCAACCTGTTTTGGCAACTCCAATTAAACACGCACGTTTTATATTGAGAATAATCAAAACAAGACAATAGCTAACATTCCATTGATGATGTTAAAACTATTGTGTTTGTCGACAATAAAGTCTGGCGGATTTAAAACAAGTTTGATGTTGATATTCTTTTATTTTAACACTTTGTAACAATTACTTTATTTTACTTTTTTCTAGGTATGCCATAGAATTTAATTTCTAAAGTGCATTGCGCATATGCCTTGTTACTGTAGCGAACAAACTTCTAAACTAGGCAAAGAACACCGGAAGGAAGTTGGCGTAGAATATATTTTTTTTTTAATTAAACGATATGCAAATTAATTGCTCTTGAAATGCTCCATTAGAATCCGTAATTGTTCCATTCATCAATTTTTAATTAATTAAAAAAAAAATAATTTTCGAAAATTTTATTTTGCTATAAAACATTAAATATCCAATATAAACAAATATATCACTGCCTACAACTGCGGAAAACAGTATTAATAAAAATAATTTAGTTAATATGAAACCGACGGGTTTTCATTTTTGAGCGGGAGTAATAATGTAATTAACGATTAATAAATAGTATTCCTACGGATTAGGATTAGTAATTCCTACGGAATGTACCTTGCAACTCTGTATTAATCTTTATCAAGTCTCAATTCTATCCATTCATTATATAGTATTTTATCTTAGAGCCTTTACATATTATTGTTTTAGCTGGCGGTCGTAAAAACATAGTAGAAACCGCTTACAACTTTATTTACACGTTGTGCCGTTCCTACCGAGATGGGATAAGGGCAGCAGTATATTGTTCATCATAGTACTAATATTTCTTTAGTATGTATGTTGTTAATCTTTCTTAAAGGCTTTGTCAAACTCTTAGACGACCTTTATTGTGATTAATTATTGTTAATAATAATTGTTATTAGTAGATTGTTACACTAACATGGTTTGGATATTGATATAATAGAATTAAGAAAGGGTTTACAAATACGTCAAAATTTAAATCACCAACGTAAGCTTGGATGTAAGTTTTCACATCATCGTCATACATATGATATGCGCAATCAACACCATACTTGATTGAGTTTATAAGAGCTGGGCATTGGGCAAGACTTTTGCTCCACAATGACCGATTGCTGACGCCTGCGAAAATAGGAAGAGAGCTAATCCAAAACTGGGGTTGTAAAACCCAAGTGAGTAAGAATAGACAGAAGGATATCGTGATCGTGTTAAAAGCAATAGATAAATCGACAAAGACAATTTTTAACCGACTTCAAAAAAGAAGGTTTCTGAATTCGACCGTATATATTTTTATTTTTTTTTATGTGTGTTCGCGGATAACTTCGTCATTTATGAACTGATTTTGATAATTCTTTTTTGGAAAGGAGATATCCCAAGGGTAGTACTGTGATAAGAAAACTCGGATCTGATGATGGCATCCCAGAGAAATCGAGGTCAATCCTACAAATTTTATAGTTGTCGACAATGTTTTAGTTTCCGTCGGTTAATTTTATATTTACGTTTAATTTTATAGTTGTTGACAATGTTTAAGTCGGTTTTTTTTGTTCAAAATTATTTTACCATCCATTCATAGTACTATATCGTCATTGATTTTAAGTAGCGGTAAGTCCAGAACTAAACCTAAAGATTCAGCGGGTTATTTTTTCAAATAAATTCGCAGAGCAGTTGAAATTTAAAAATGTGATTATGAATTTTACAATAAATATTTTTTTTTCACATAACAATGTTAAAACTATAAAACTATTTATTGATTTATTGATTTAACGCGAATATTACACATATTTAACGAAACTATTATTATACATTATAAAACGCCATAAAATCCGTTAACTAGTCTCATTTAATATAAAAACGATTTATTTGTTGTAGTTAAAGTACTACAGATTTCACTAAGATGTATCCAATGGTGCAAAAACTCTGTATTTTATGATTTAATTTTATCTGAAAGGCCCAAGTTCAGTGACATTATGACATTCTACATGATAATGTTAGGAGCGATGTGGGCGGAGTTGGGAATTCCGAAAAATGTCGCACTGCAACTTTTGATTATAAATTGCACTAACTATAAAATTAGGACTTTGAAATCGCTACGCCTTTAATTAACATTCTCTATCACGATAAAACTACGGCAATTGTAAGCAATCAATGACTCGTGTTCTTTGTGATGTACATGTAACGCATAATATTTATGTGGCGTAATTAATTTATATTTAAATGTATTAATTCGTTCACATAAATACGAATTTTCGAATATTTTTGTGACATATTAGTAGATTAGTGTTTAATTTATGTATTTATTTATTTAAACTTTATGCACACACTTGTACCAAGGCGGACTTAATGCCAATGGCTTTTTATACCAGTCAACGTATATTTAAACAATAAATACAGTATAATATACAACATATGCAACGAATATTAACGATGAATTGTCAATTTTGGTTAAAAGCAGGGTCTTACAGCAGAAGTAAAGGGAATATCCCTAAAAATAAAAATTGAAAACTAAGGGACATTTTGGTACTTACAAGTTTTCGCGAAAATCTATTGCTAATATCTGTTTATTGTGTTGACTCAGGACTTTGATTTTAAGACTATAGACCTCTGGTATAAATCTCAACTCGCTAGGTCCAGCCGTTCCTGAGAAAATCGGTGGTGACAACGGACAGGCAGACTGAAAAGAGAGTGATCTTATACGGGTTCCTTTTTTTATCTTTTAAGTACGGAACTCTAAAATAGTTCCGTACTACCTCGGCTTTTTATTGTGTGATTGTGAACAGTGATTATCGTTCAACATTTGAATATAAACACATTCTGTAAATAAAACGTGTGTAATATAAACTTACAACAATAAATCTTAATTTATATCAAAAAACTTATAGTCAAAGGTCGTCATTGCCGTCAATGAAATTTAAATACATATTTCAATATAAAAGGGTCGCATTGTCTGATGGAGATGACGTTCGCATATTTACATCAAGTTTATTTAAACACTGATATGATAATTCACGATTTGAATTAAAAATTACGAAATCAGAATAAAAATCATTGGTTACGGCGTTAACAAAAGAATTTAATTAAAGTTATTTAGATTAACATGTATAATCAATCACTTATTTACTCCAATTTCACACCCTTAACCTAAGCGGTCCAAGTAACCAAGCTTTTCCTGTCATGATTATGCGGTAGGTATTCCCATCCACGTCAAATTTGCTGGTACGTGTAAGATGGTTGACATATTTCCTCTTCATAGATTATTGTCTACCCAGCTGACCTGCTTGCTGTTTGGTATTCCATGAATGATGTAAATATGTTAACTTATTATGTAAGTTTGTTCTAATTTTTTTTCCGCTTAGAAGTAAAAAACTGTTCATCACCATCTTCCACAACAGAAAGGTTTAGTAGTAAACGTAGACACGGAGTCCCAAACTGCTTTTAACAGAAAAACGATCACCGTTTTTTTGGTGATTAAAAATATACAGATAACAGTCAGAAAATATCTAACGTAAGGTACGTTTTTACTAATCCAATAAGATACATTGGAACCAATCCTTACTAATATTATAAACGCGAAAGATTGTATGTATGGATGGATGATGGTTACTCTTTCACGCAAAAACTACTGAACAGATTTTAATGAAATTTTACAATAATATAGCTTATACATAAGAATAACACATAGGCTATAATTTATAACGATATTTTGTGAATTGTCCAAAATATAGTGTTAACTAAGTAGGAAAAAATTCAGCCATCTGCGAGATATTCTGGTGTATAATAAAAAACTCATTGTTAATTCCGTTTGGCCGCGCGGGCGAAGTCGCGTTTAACAATTAGTTATTTAATAAAATAAACTTGTGGGTATATTGGTTGCTGCTGCGTTAAAGTACTCTGTTATTTAATTTCAATACTGTATAAACTGTGAGCCGTAAGAGCCGTGATAGCACAGTGTCCGGGCGCTCGCCTTTAATTCAATATACTCTAGCAACCTGAGTTCGATCCCCGAATGAAGTTTTTGACTTTAAGTGCTGACTTATCACGTGCTCCGCGGTGAACGAAAACATCGTGAGGAAACCTGCATTTTTTCAAAATAATAACAAAAAAAAATATATGTGCATGTAATAATTACAATTTTTTTTTACGGCTGTATTGTTTGTATTTCTTATTTGACGCTTAGTCACTCGGAATGTTCACTAGTCGATACCCATACAAAAGCTCACCTAATTCTCGTATTTTGTTCGTCAAGCCTCTCTAACTAATGTTGTAATATGTTACAATATGTAATATTTTTTTTCTGTGAGTATTTCTTTTGCAATCATGTTAAATTGTATTCAGTTAAGCAGAACTAATTAATAAAAAGAATAATAATACATTTAACGATCAGTAATATTTGATAATAATATATTGTATAATACTATATAAACATAATAGAGAATATTTTAAACACATTCTGTATATTTTAAACACAGTAGATCGGATTTCCTTGGGGGTCTAATTTAAGATTATATTTTTTCAATACGCTATACTTTTAATCCAATAAAAAGAAACATTATCATATTATGTTCAGATGTCTCTTATATACTATGTTCCTTCGAATTCCTTTCCTGAAAAAATATTGTTAAGATTAATGTGTGATACAATTATATACTATGTGAGGTGTGAGTTAGGTTTTTGGATCGATTCAAATAAAAACAAGTTTACAAAGCTTTCAAACTTACATCAAAAATTTTCCCAGATTGGATGCTGCCGTGCTCAACGTCAGGCATTTCGAATGTCCTTTCATATATTGCTTTCTTCAATTTGTATGCTTTTATATCGAGTAACGTAATGGGTCGACTATAATCATCTTCATCCCCATAATACTGAGTGGAATTTTCATTCGATGCGATCTTTTTCGTGTCTGTTATGGTTTCCGTGGGTGTTAGAGTAGCGTTATTTTTTTTAGGATATATAAAAATTCTTAAAACAGTGTTCAGACCCTCTATTGGGTACGGAATGAAATTATATAGTTTGTTGGATTGTTTCGATGACAAATTGATCCCAATTTTTTTTAGTAAATTGAACATTGATTTTAAAATGCCAACTTTAATCTCGGTATTTTTTAAGGAACTTGAAGCAATGTCGGAGCCAGAGTTCGAATGTTGGCTTTGGGACGTGACATCTTTGGCGCTTTTTGTGTCTAATGGACGTACATTCACTTCGATATGCGAAATGGCATTGCCTTCTTGAGTGACATCTGAATATTGGGTCGGTTTACTACATACGATCACGAAGCATACGATTAAGCAAACGATCCTGAGTAACCCCATTATCTGCAATTCAAATAACGTCGCTGTGAATACTTAGGTATATTAATTAGGCATATTATATCATGTACGATGTGTATTTTAATAGAGTGGTCACATCATTTATAAATGTAATGTCTTTTTCATTTATTTATTTATTGAGGTTTACCAGCAGTTATAAAATAAAATTTATATTAACAGTACAGTAATTATAACTAACTGTACAACTATTTTAAGGTAAACACAACATGCACACATAATGTTATAAATTCATTCATTCGCCTTTGCTAGTATTGAAGTCATTAAGGTTAAGTGGGATTGATTTATTTTTATGTCATTAAAGAATAAAGCAGGCGCCAGTATAATAAAATATGAAAATAAATGTTTTTATTCATATAATTCCAATGTACCACGTCGAACATGAAGTAGCTACTTATTATACGAGAAATAAATAGGTATAAGTCGCGTAAAGTTCTTCTAGTTTTTTACTATGTTAATGCAATTAATTCTATTTCTCACTAATATAACAAATCTTTACATACAAAATGTCACGAATGACTATTATCAATAAATTTAAATGTATTTGAACACAACAAAACTAAACCGGTTTACATGACAGAGCACTACACACACAAAGACGCAAATATATTACATACCTTTTTTTATCAATTATTTTCGAGCCTAAATATTTACAGTTAAACATATATACACAGATAATTGAATGTATTATTCTAAAATATTGAACAATGTAAAATACTAAAATACTATTAAAACCGTACGTCTTTGCGTTCAAAAGATTTAGATACAACTAAAAATCATGTTTAAATAACGTTAAAGTCGGTGTAGATTTTCCTTGTACAAGGTATCAAGTTATATGAGAACTGAATTGAGGTAGACGTCCTTATTTGTTTGCTTTTTTTTGTTTGCAGTTTTTATCCAAATTATAATTACGACACCACATGACAGTACACAGACATGAAGTGCTTTTAACTGTGAGCACTAATCTGATATAATTTTTATTGATACTAACTTTTACGTACAACTGTGAACAAAACATTGCAAAGAACGCTAACTACTGCATTACATTGTAAAGCCAAAACATTGCCGAGAAAGTTGCGACTGTTGTGAGATGTTTTAAAACGATTATCTCAGTCCCGTACTGCTTTGGTTGTTTGTAAGAGAAAATATGGGTCAAATGAATGTTAACCCACAAACATAGGAAAAAACTATATGATGCTATTGGATTTTCAATGCTTATTTAGTGGATTCGTGTATTCGTTTTTTATAATCAAATAATGTTAAATATCCTCCGCATATAGACGCAGTGTTGCAGACAGTTTTCGCAGCCCCGTAATTTACTTCGATCAGTACAAAATTGTGGTCGGATCAGTTCGCAGTCTTCACTGTTGCAGCTTGCATGAATGGGCAGGTCCGTCCGCGGTACCACGCCGTGAATGGAATACTGGCGAGAGGTGGAAATGTTATACTTCCGCGCTCAGTCTGGTAAGTGAGGGAGACCGGAGCCCATTTTATTAAGGTGGCAACACATCTGCAACCATCCGGGTGTTACAAATGTCCATGGACGGCGGAAAGCACTTAACATCAAGTGAACCACCAGCTCGCTTGCCACCTGCCAACCACAAATACAAACAAAACAAAATTATTTATTTTTATTATTTGGTTCATCAAAGTTGCTGCTAAATGTCTACGGGTAAACATATATTTCAGAGAAAAATCTTGCACAGAAAAGTCAATTTTAATTTAACTACATCTGTGTCACAAATTGTGTAAACTTTGGAAAGGTGTTCCAATGTTTACCTTAACGATATTCCATATTAACTAATTTTGTGATATCAGCACCTTTTAAAAGACTGTTGTGTCTTGAAAATTTTATAGCTGCATCAAACTAGCGGGAATATATATTGAAGCAGATTAATATGAAACAATCCATAACTTTTGTAAATATACTAATGGTATATTTAAAAGTTTATTCATAAGTGTATTTTTGTATTTTCAATCTTCTTAAGAGGGACATTACATTTTAGTAAGGTATTTTTTTAATTATTATTATAAATTAATATTACTTATATAAAACACTGCTTAATTTAAGTAACTGACTGATAGTTCTAATTTCCAGATTCATAATATATAGAAAAAATAAAATAAGGGAAATATGAAAAACAGAATAAAAAAAAGTTTAAACGGCATAAAACTTCACATTTTTATTTTGGGCAAAATTAACATATACTAAAGTTATTAAAAGTAATTTCTTAAAGCGTCATGGTAAATTATAATACGACTACACATGATAAAGTAAAGAAAACTGTTAATTTA